CAGCGGGCGCTCGGCGCAGCCCCGGCGCCCCCGCCCGTCGCCATGGCGACTGCATCCACAGGTAACAGGGTGGTACCCAAGGATGCTCACAAAGCGCCCGGCCTTCCCATATGGGCTGAACCCAGGGACATGGGGTGGGTTGGACCCAGGGGTGGGCACGGTGCTGCGTGCCTGGGTTTGCCCAGGGTTGCTTTTTCTTTCTTTTTTTCTTTTTGATTGGGGCGGGGGGGTGACCCGCAAATGGTGGTTGGGGGCTGTGGCTTCGTCCCATCCGTTTGTCACATTTGGCAGGTCTCTGATTTCACTCTGCTTTGGGGCTGGTGCCCAGGGGGGCGGGAGCCTCTTCTGGCAGATGCGGGGCTGCTGCTAAGGCACCTGTTTAGGAAACGCAGAGGGCTCCTGCTAGAATTCAAGTGCTTCTCTTTATATTTTTCTTGATGGCACTTTTTCCCCCTCTTCCCTCCTCCTTCTCCATTGCTAGCCCGTGGGGGAGTTGACATGCCGTCTTTGCACTGGGGAATGGGCTGCTCTGATTTAAATGCCCATCCGCTGAAGAAGAGGGAACCCCCTTTTTGGAACTTGAATGTATTCAACTTATCTGGACTAAGTTGGGGGGGGGGGGCAGGGGCTTGAGCTATAAACTAGTCATAGTTATGCAATAACTGCAGAGGCATTAGGCACTGCATTTTGGGTTGGGTCCCCTCCTGATCCCTTGCAGTCAGAGGCAGCAATTCTTTGTGCTTAATCACATACATTATATGTTATATGAACATTTGCAGACAGCTCTGTTGCAATACTGCATCATTTCCCCTCTTTCCGGCTTTCCTAAGGGGGTGTGTGCTCAACATGGATGTTCTGCTGCTGCCTTCCTGGCTCTTGGTTGCTTTAGAGTTCAGTAGTGCAATGGGATCTAACACCCGTTGGCTGAGGTGGAAAACACTTCAGTGTTTTTATAGCTTTGGACAGGCTGTAAATCTGCTGATGCGCTGCTTATTAGCTAATCTCGGTGGTAGGTTGTAGAACGTGACTTTACACTGGCAGGGAGGCAGATGGCTTGAAATGTGAAGCTACTCTGTGGTTTGTGCTTATAAAAAGGGCATGGATGGGGGTTTTGAGGTGGGTTTCTCTCAAGAGTATAACTGCACAAAGAGAAACCTCATGCTCTGCCTGTATTCTCTAGTGGAGACGAACATGGCAATCTTGAAGCTTAGAGTATATAAAGAACAAAGAAGGGTGGTTTCTGAAATGGTATAAATCTCTACTAAATGGAAAAAGCTATGGTTTCACTACGCAGTGAAAGCTGCTTCAGGTTTAAATTCATCCATCAGACTTAGACATTCTGAATGCAGTGCATTAGGAAGAAAGTGGCTAGCTATGGGAGAAAATAGGGAAAATATTGCTTTTGGACTTCTCTACAAAAGGGCTTAGCAATAGATTTATTTGTGCCAACAGTGGGGAGATGAAGGGGAGGGGGAGGGAGGGAAGCAAAACTCAGCAGTACAAATGCTGTCTGAGGTTTACTTGTTGGTTGTTGCAGACTGATTAGACTTCAAATTAACAAATTAGCATGATGCTATTGTGTTTTAAATCTCTTAAATTCACTATACTTTCATTATCGTATAATTGAGAAAAGGGAGGAGGAGCTGATAGTACTGGATAAAGCAGTATCCCATTGAATGTATCCTCTCATCCACGCCTGACTCTTTTTTTTTTTGGTTGCTGTTATACTTCTTATGATTTCCCTGCTGCAAAACCTGGATAAGTATGACTGGTTATTTTATTTTCAGTTGCTGAATAAAAGGTTCTCCTATATTGCTGAATAGTAGCTTTTAGTTTGCTAAAATCAGTTCAGTGCTACTGCTTATTGAGTGGTTTCCTGCTTGTTTTACCCAGTCAAACAATTAGATGGAAACCAAAAACTGGGGGGTGGGAGCGGGGATTTGACTGGCATAGATGGAGCCGGAGAAGTTGGCGAAGCTAATCGTCACTAGGTAGAGAGGCAGCAGGGATAGTTCATGGAATAAATGCAAACAAATAAAACAAAACGTGGAATGACCAATCTGTGTTCCAGCTACCCTGCTTAGATGTTATATACCTCCTTCCCAAACTCTTGATCTGTTACTTTTATCTGCCAGGTGAAATGCTTTTTGGGGTAAGAACTCATATGTACTAGTCATTTTCCTAATACATATAAAATAAATACATAAAAATGAATAATATCAGCAATTGACCATTACCTGGACAAACCTCCTTATGAGCCCTAACACCTTGCAAGGTTTCTTTTGTTTGAGATTTTGTTATAAGCTTGAAAGCCATCCAAGGATTGTCAAAAGATGAGGGCATATTTTCCAGCCAACTCAGGGCTCTGTTTTGAGCCTGGCTGGCTGGCTTGATATCAAAACTCCACCGAAGGGTTTTTGTGTGACTGAGGAGTGAAGCACAGCAATTCTTAGGGGGGTTTCAGTCCCATTTCGGGGACTTCCATTCAATTTGGTATCAACTGAACCTGAAGAAAAGTTCATATGCGTTCGTGATGAGGGGAGAGAGAATGAGAGAGAGTCGTGCTTCATAAAGCAATAATAATTAGACCCTGAAATTTGCTCAGGCAAAATCTGTGCTTTGGGAAACTACAGGTTTCGCATCTGTCCTTTCTACTGCACGGCTGCTATATGAGAAACTATGGAGGTGAATCTGTGTCCATAGAGAGTCCAGATGAAAGAGGTGAGCTGCTTTGGTTGTTGCGCAGCACATGAGTTGAATGGCTTCTCCTCTTAAAAGCACTACCGGATCCATCCCAAAAATGTGGGTTTGGTTGAGGCCGGGAAGGGCTTCGGGGCTGATGCTGCAAGGATTAAAACAGCAATGCAAGATTTTTTTTTCCAGCAGTTGTATGTTTCTGAAGAGAGCTCCATGCCACCCAATACACCATCTGGACATGGGTTCTGTTATTTATTTTTATACGTTGACAGTAATTAAAATTCTTTGAAAATTTATTTCCAAATATATTACACAGGCTGATATTGAGCGTTTCCTGGGATAAATACATCTGGCTTCCCTCAGGAAAACAATGACACGACGGTGGAGGTAGATTCAGTTGCTGGCGCACAGGTGCGGTAGAGGGGTGTGAAGGGAAGAGGGCACAGGAAGTTCTTTGTGCCCTCGCTGCACCAGCATCCTGTGAGAACAAGTACGGGGTGGGTTTGTTCAGATGACACATACCTCCAGTGGGGCACAAGTGGAGCATGGCCTCCCTGTCCTTCTGCACCAAGTGGTGGAACGGGGCCAGCCCTGAAAGATCCCTATATCCCACGGCTAGAATAAAACCATGCACACTGTAGACCTGTGCCCCACGGCCCAGTTGCTGGGGTCTGGTAAGAAAGGCAGTATCTCAGATGCCTCTTTCCCCTTAGGCTTCGTGTTTGTGAACAAAGGATTGAAAGTGAGTCTCAAATGTCACTGAGGCAGGGAGGCCTGGGCCTGAAAGGCTGGAAACTCTCTGGAGGGAAGGGGGGCAGCTAGGGTGGCCATCAAAGAGGACAGTCCAGTTGTCCTCTGTCCTCTATCGATATGAAACAGGACGCCTTTATGTCTGTTATTTTTCTCTTGAAAAGAAAAAAAAGAGGACATAAGGCATCAGGTTTCTTATCAATAGAGGACTGAGTAGCAGAAAACCGGACTGTCCTCTTTGATGGCCACCCTAGGGACTGCTCCATGCAGCTTAGCGGGGTGTTTAATGACAGGAGCTGTTGCTCTGGGGTCCCAACCAACAGCACCGTAACAGTGCATAGCTGGAAGAAGTGCCACACTCCTTCAAGCAAATAACCCAGCAGCAAGGGTGTAAGTACTGGGGCTTGCCCTGCCACCACCCCTGCCTCTCCAGCAGAGAGGAGACCGCTGCTTCTTCCAAGGAAAGAGAGGTTCTTGTTGCTGTTCTGGCAGGGGAGTGAGGGACGCCGTGGTGCCAGCACTGTACCTAGACTCCTGGCAGCTGTGGGCAAACTTTTAGTATTGGGCCCCCCTTCACCAGAGATAATGATAATAATAATCAGACAACAGAAAAAAATTACCATTTTTGGGCCCCTTTTCTGTCTGGGCCCCAGGCTGCCGTCCAATTCACCTGTGCTTGTGTCTGGCTCTGCATGATACTATACTATGTCCCACGTTCTTAAGGATGCTTCCCTTGCCAGTGCTTCTGCAGGGGTCAGGGCTGCAGGACAGATCCACCAAAGGGCTCGGTGTTTCCCTGGCTGCACCCTCATAAATGGTGTAGCTACTTCTGCGGGCTCTCCTAGGACTCTGGAGGCATCCAGCCCGCTTGGGATCTCTGCAGGCAGAATATCTCCTGGGCTCCAGGTGCCGCAGTGCCCTTCTTGCCCTTCTTCAAGTGGTGGTGGCTGTCACATCTATACTGCGACGCAATTAGTCTCACCTGATTCCTTTTGCCCAACGTGATAAATGTTCCTCACAGAAAATGCAGCGCAGCCAAAGTCTGCAGGAAAAAGAGAGCTTAGATTGGACAGGTCAGCTCATATATCAGTCCATCCAGTCTTTCCCATCTAATTACCCAGGGGAACGAGGGCAGTGCAATTTTGCAACTTTAGAAAGAGAATTTAATCTGGTTTTCAGGGCAGCAGCATCTTGGGAAGAGAGACGGTTGGGGGCTGATCTTGTTTTCCTTTTCAGGGAGAACTCCTGTTGGAGTCCTTAAGCTTTGCTGGGATGTGGGGAGGGGTTGGATCAGGGCGCACAGATCCACACCTCGCAGGAGCGGCATGCTTACTTCCAAGTATGCTCTCATCCACAGATTGCTGATGTGAAGTTGGCTAGAGTCATTCCCACTCTCTCTGAGGCTTGATATTTGACATTTATCTCCAATTTCCCCTGCTTCTTTCTGCCATGAGTGACTATGTACTAGCACAGGGTTTTTCATGTCATGAGTGCTAAGCTATAGGGATTTATTTATTTAAAAAAAAAATGCTTTTAGAACAAAGCACACTGTGAACCCGTCCTACAAGCCGTCTTCATTAGGGGACCTAAAACATTCACTATAACTTCCCATGC